TCCGAAACAACGGAGAGATAACGCGCCTCTGATTTTGTTAACTTCACATACTCTAGGAGCTGTAGCGTCGCCCATTCCCACGATTCTAATGCCCATCAGCAGATGGGCCTCCCCACCACAACAAAGGGAAGGTAAAGTGGCGTGCATCGTAAATCTGGCAACAATAGGAGGATTTGCTTCAGACACGAGTTGGCTTCAGCGCTCGAGCAGCGGAACTCTCGCTTTCAAGTTAAATGACACTCAAGACCAATGGACCCTCCATCCCATGAACAGAAAACCTCCTTGCACCTTAGCTTTCAGTCTCATAAGGGGTTCTCAAGAGGAGATGGCCTAAGCTGCAAATTGAATGCTCTTCTTGTGCTGCGGCATGGCGCTCCGAACTTTCCAAGCGTGGCTACAGTTTTTGCCGTTGATTTCCCTGAATTCTAATGTTGTCGGCTAGGGTCACAGTTTTTCAGGAAGAAATGGCGGATTTTCTTTTGTTCTACGTACGAGGTAACGTAGTCTCTCTCGCAGTTGCTGCCTATTTGCGCAGAGAGCAAATATGCCCTCCTTTGCAGGCGCCCTTGAGTTCATGCGGCGCAGTATCACATTTAACCAATGAGAACTCATTCACATACAAGAAATTCAACAGTGAGGTGATCCCTGCGTTGGATAGGCCGTCTTGTGTAATATTTTTGTCGACTCCGTTCGCCGGGTATGGCTCGGCTCCACTGGTCTGGCGTTTCAGTAACGTGTACTACTTTAGGGGTATGCTGTTCTCTCCCCTTCACCTTCTTTTCCCGTTTCATTTTTTTCTGTGTCTTCTGACAAGCGGGCCTTAACTTGCAGATTTGCCTTTGGTTTCTTTGTCGCGAGGCCCGTTCGTTCATGCCCACTGTGGCAGCCACGCTGAATAATCAGCAAGCAAAGCTGAGGAAGTGCCCCGCTACTATCCGTGCCCGAAGCCGTTCCTACTGCCTCAAGCATTTGCAGAGGCTTACGATAGCCCCGAATGCTGCTTGTCCGGGTATTGTTTCTCCGCGCGAAGGTGCCGTGTGCTGAAGGAGCCAAAATGACTTGGAGAAGTACCTCCGATCCTTACGTCAGCTGTTTCAGCACCAGTCGAAAAGAATTTTTCTTAGATGGTGTCTTAAAGTTTTTAATATTTTAGGTAGCGTGTAGTGCTTGGACAAGCAACCACGCGGGAAAATGGAGCTTCAGCGAATCTGACCAAGATACTCTTTGAGCCTATGAGCCTGTCACCCTAGTGGTTCGCTGCATACTGTTTCACGCTTTTAATCGGATCGTACATATCCGAAAGAATGCGTTGAAGTGAGAAGATTGCTGATTTGAGTATCACTGCCATCGTGCGCCGCAGTTCGTTTTCTTGTTCGCCAACAAGCTCTTGTGCCTGCAAGTTGATGCCAGCATCTAGTAACGAATAAACAATCAATGCGATACTTAATATATAAGCACTATGAACCTATGTATAGGCCCCTTTGGACTGAGACTTCACGCTGGAGGGCAACAGTGGCACGACAGCTCCGAAGAAAGTGAGCGTCCTACATAATATCGGCCTAGTAGTCACCGGACTACGTTTGAGGCTTGCTTATCTAGTTGAGCGTCGAAAGAGTGTCGTGATCCAGTCCTGGAAAAGATGCAGCTGTTATGATTCTGACTGTTGCCTATGACACGTCAGGATGTCATGACTGCGCTGGGCCCGTTGCGATCCCAGACGAGAACGTTTTCAGTATTACTTTCCTCCGGCGTTGCCTAGAGCTGTAGAGGATCATCCTGGTCTGCAAACGTACTTCCAAATCGGAAAGTACAGCCAAAGACTTGACCACCTCGCCCGCAGAATGCTTAGAGTATTGCTGGGAGTTAGCGGAAGTTACGTGGCTCCAATCGTTCTCCTTGAGAGCTGTAGTAGTCATGCCTATCTAGGGCGTTTAGTGGAAATGCACAGATTGGATGAACTCAAGACAGATTGCGAGATGTTAAGGTTTGTGTGTGGGGGTGCCCCGATACAGCACACTCTTGAAATGAGGAGCCGCAAGATCCAACCTCAGCTTTTTCCTTCAATTATTTACCAGTATTTTTTAGTTGCTTGATGAAACACAGCTCTACCATATGGTTTTGCCTTCATTGCTTGCACTGTAGCTACCTAGTTATGGGCAACACCACCTTGTCGATTGTACATACCAAGCTGACCAACAGTAGCCATGATATAAACCGGGATTTCGGAGGGTTTATGCAGCAAATGGTCACATAAGAAGCAGTAATTTGAAACTGGATTGCAGTCTGAAGCTGATATCAGCCCATTGCTTCTAGACCCAGGAGGACAAGAAATTGGTTACACTTTACCAAGCAACCAACAAATATTTTGTTACCAACAAATATTTTGTTTTCCTTCAACTGTTCACAAAGGGTCTTGTATATGAACTGTTTGTTCACTCATTGCTGGCCACCCGGCTACGTCTGAAAAGTCGAGAAAAAGGTCTCCCAAAATGAGACAAGGAACAGCAAATGCACACATTCGCTTACTTTCAATGCTTCATGCATAAGGCGAAATATTTACAGGTTTCGTTATTGTTCCCGCGCGCCCCACAGACCGCCTCTGCCGCATGTCGTCCGCGTTCGTGCGAAGCACCGGGAGTTTGTGGCATTTCTTTCAGTCTTTGATTAAAATAAGCCTTTTTATCGAACTTTTCTTCTTTTATAAGGTCAAAGGTGTCTTGTTTCGCATTGGAACTTTGTTATGCTTGCTGTTGTTTCGGCGACGACGACGAGCACTTCCTGTTGCAGTGACTCGCTGTCCTGATATTTGCCAGCACATTGTGCTTTCTTCTGAGCTTTAGCTCTTCTGAAGGTCTCATCCTTGGTCAAGAGATGGTCTTTCCGCCGTTTTCTGTACTCACTGCAAAAGCGAGTGCAGCAATGGCTTTCTTCTGTAGCCGCCTCGCCTAGTGACCTGCTCGGCGACATGGGACCCAGCATTAGAAATCTTCAAAATTAGTTTATTTATTGCACCTATTAACCTCATTATGGGACCTCCCTGGGTGATTTTGCCCGAATTTACTGATGGAAAGCTCCAGGAATCCGTCTGGAGCCATATCGCGTTACAGGACAGTTGCTAGCTGGTTGGGTGTCGTTTGCTCTTGGTGAGACTGAAGCAGTGCGCACTCACCCACACCTAAACAATTTTATTCCCTTTATATGTGTCTCTCCAGAGAACAGAAGAGGGTGCGATAAGTTGAGAATTCACCGTTAGCATCACGGTCCCTTCACCAACTGTGTCCGCATGTAGGGTAAGTGTCTGTGTGCGCCCCAAGGCTGTCCCTCTGGCATCATTCATGCATTTATCTCTTTTATCTTCACCTGCTATATCTTTTAAGTTTATTCGATCCACCTTGAGCTACCCGCCTACTCATGAGGGCTCTAAAGGGCAGAGGGCCTCACGGGCCGGCCCCCTTGCTGCTTTTTCTCTTATTTCCTTGGAACCCCTCCCTGATCTTCGCTACTGCCACTGCTGAAGCTCCTGTGGGAAGCCTTTACCGGCACTTTCAGCTGAGAGGGGAAACACGCCGACTGCAAGCGCTGGGTGCCCCCTACAAGGATGTGGGTTTGAGCTTCTTGGGGACCCCCAGTGAGCCAGGCGCTGCCCCTCAAATGCAGTTTTACACATCGGCGCCACTGCCTTCATCAATGCATGCTAACGAGACGAGCGAGCCGTATTTATTTTCAAATTCGGGACTTGAAGGAACCCGCGGGACGCCGTTGGGAGTGCAGGAGCCCCCTTCCTTCTATGGAAATGTTCACGTCGCAGACCCTACGCCCGTAGCGGAGGTGCCTATGTGGATCTGGTAAAGTCTTTTATGCAACAGCAACAGAAGTTACATCAGCACTGTCACTTGAATACGAGCCAGCCTTCTGCAACTGGGATTAGGGACAAGGATCAGAACATACTTGAAGCTCTACTCATAGTCTGTGCATCTGCACCTTTACCTGCACTAACATATAATTGCATGCAGCGGCTTGAACATATTCTTCCCAAGAGCACAGATGCAATCCTATACGTACATGGATGACTTGCAGAAAACATGGATTTCGAGTTACCTGGATTTCGAGCTGCTTGGATTTTGGGTTGCTTGGACGCCTGTTGATATGCGTCTTCAAAACAAGCTACTGCTCCCAAATAGTTATCACGAAGAGACACGTTTGTATTAAACTACGTGTATACTTCACAAGCTGGGAAGATATCCATGGACGCATGCTTTATGCACAGTGCAAAACAGAGATAACACAGAAGAGCACATATGCATACAAAAAATGCGCAAACCAACCAGGCCACGGGCGTGAATTTAAACATAAGCGTTCCTCATATTGCATTGATCCATTTACTTATGTACCAGCAAAAGAGCCACACAGCCTACTGACTTGTGCGTTTTAGTCTCCCGGGAGTTGCTTTTGCTGCAGGGTTTCATCGACGGTGATTTGCGTCTTGCTACTGCTGCTGTGGGTACTGCACCAGCGGCGATTCTCCGCAGTAGCTGCTGAGCTGAGGCTTCTGCAGCGACGCTGCTTCAGTCCACCTGCTGCCCTCCACATGAGCCTCGTCTATTCTTTCTTCCCTCTCTCTGGGGCGGTCGCTTGGTGAAGCATTCCACCAGCAGCATCAAAAATAGCAGTAGCCGTAGAAGCAGACGCAGCTAAATCAGTAGGAGCATAAGGCATAATATGGTGCTGCGGAGTTGTAGCCCTGCAATAGTTGTAGTGGTGTCGCAATAGCATTCAACGATATTACCTTGTGCGCATTGCCACACTGAGTTGTTCACTGTTGAGGGGTGTACCATTCCTAACAGCTGCCCGTTGCTGTTGCTGTCTGGCTCTGCCGCTGTGCTTCTTCTCCCTTCAGGCTTTCCCTTCTCGAGCCGCGTGGAGGGTTGTTATTGTCTCAATTGCGTTCAGCCTGGGAAGTTTGCTGCTTGCATTGTTTCATGCTGCTGATGCTACACCTAATGGGTGGCCCAGAGACCACATTACTGCTGCTACAGCAGCAGCACGCGCTTCCATCCCCTGAAAGCGTCGGCAAAGCTCTTGAGGGTACGAAGGGGTATGCCAACATGGAAAGCCACCAGAGCAAGCCTATTAGAGACAAGGAAGGCTCAGCTCCTACACAGCAGCAGGAGCAGGAGGAGAAACAGCAGACAAAGGAGGGAATAGTGAAGTTGGAGGCATTGCCTACTATTACCAAGCGCTTTGGCCACTCATGCAACAGTAGCAGCAGTAGAAAGAACAATAGCAGCAGCAGCGGCAGCAGTGAGCAGGGCCGCAACAATGGACAAAGCACATGTGAACTCAGTGCAGCAAACGAAGGCAGCCACAGTCTAGCTGCCCCCACTCTCCCGCCGTCAGCAGCAGCAGCATCAACAACAGCATTGACGACAACAGTGGCACCCGCACCAGCCGTAGCAGCACTCACTCTAGAGCAAAGTGCAGCGGCTCTCCGCAACAAGCTTTCTTCCTCCTCAGTAGCCGCTGGAGCGCAAGCTGAAGCAGCAGCAGAAGCGGCGACAACACAGCCACTTGAGGCAACAGCAGCCGCTGAAGAACCAAGTCGGGAAGGTCCTCCAGCAGCAGGGGAAGCCAAGGCAGCCGCATCTGCATCTGCATCAGCGGCTGACGGCGCTGCTGCTCACGTGATGTGCAGAGCTGCCGAGGGGCTGGTAGAGCTTCCGGAGGCAGCCAGTGGCTCCTGCTGCGTTTCTGCAGCCTCTTCTGCTCCTCGAAGGCGCAGTAGATGGAGGAAAGCTAGGAAAGCCAGCTGTTTCACCAGCACCAAGTGCAACCTAGGCTGCGGCCAATCAATAGAGCGTTGCTGCTGCAATCGTGACGATCGCTCTGCGCGAGATTTGTGCAACAGCAGGAGACATGACAATAACAGCAGCAACGACAGCAGCAAAAGCAGCACATACAGCTGCCCTTCCGGTCCTCAGGCGAAGCTCTCTATTTGGCATCGCTGCAAAGACAAGCTGCACAGGCACCGCGTACGGCTTGGAGCGTCTACAAGCCGTCGCAGCAGCATAACCCGCAGCATAACTACTGCTGCTGGCGCTGCTGCTCCGCCTACTCGGGAAACCGAACGGTCACCTCTAGAAGGAGATCCACTTCTGCTACCTGGTGCTGCACCCACTATTGCTGCTGCTTCTCCCGTCTGTGCTGCTATTGCCGAAGGCTGTAATGACCCCTTGGCTAAGGACCATCGCCAGCAGCAGCAGGAGAAGGAGCGGCAGTGTACTGAAAGTGCAGATGCCAAGCATAGAGGCGTTGCAGGCAATAGTTCGGGTCTTGCTGTTTCACCTTTCGGTGCGGAAAGTGCCATCAACAGCAAAAGATGCCTCGTAAACGCCTCTCCTGTATCTGCTACAGCAGCTTGTGAGGCTGAACAAAATCAGGAGGCTCAACAAGAGCAAAAACAGCAGCAGCAGTCAGAACCGTCACAGCAGCAGCGACAGCAGCAGCTGCCCAGTATTACTGAAGGAGGACCTGGGGCAGCAATACCTGGCAGCACTTGCAGCACCACTCTGACCAATCAGGGCTCCTCGCCCGCTGTACTATTGGCGCAAAGACAAAGGAAGACAGACATCGTTTCAGTGGAAGTGCAGCGCCTAGGTCCGCAGCTACTTCCTCCTGGCACTAGAAGTGGTACTGATGGTGTAGCCCTAGAAAGAATGGAATGCCATGCTGCAGAAGAAAGCCACAGAAAGGTTTGGTTTGTGCCACCTCTCTGCTGCCTCGCCTGGAATACAAAGCCCAGGCCATTCTCGGCGGTGAGACCACTGCAGCTGCTCGCCGCTGGTATTGCTGGTGCTGTTTCTGCTACAATTGCTACCACTGCACGCCATCATCAATAAATGCTGTGGTATCGCCGCTGCTGAGGCCGCCGCAAATATGTGTAATTTCTGTACTATTCGCAACGTAGTTCTGGTTCTATGGCTACTACTAACAGGAGTTGACAGATGGTTCCATTACTGCTGCTCCTCCTGCAAGTGCTGCTTCAGCTGCGACTACCGCTTAAGCTGATGGTGTTGCTGTTGAAGCTAGTTTCGATGCCCTTCCCTACCAGCAGCTAAGGCCTAGAGCTTGCGTGTGCGTATGCGTCAGTGGGACCTGCGCATGAGTTACCGTTGCTTGCTGCCCTTCACCGTGCTGAAGTTGCTGCGAGTGCTGCTGTGTTATTTACTGCCAACACTGATGCACCTTGGAAACGAGAGAGATAGGACGCCGGGGGAAGCAGGGGCTGTTAGTGGCGGCGCCGTGGACACTGCTGCTTCCGCTCTTGGAGAGAATGGACAACAGCATCTACTGCAGCGATTGCTGCAGCTCTGCTGCTTCTTTTCTCTCGTACTCGCTATGTGGGGCCTTGCAGTGGTGTTTGTCGCCACAAGACCTCTCCTGAAGCCTTTCAACATCGGTCAGCCTGAAACCTGCTTTCGGTCTAGGGTGTAGGGCCAGAAGCCAGGGCGTATGATCTGCAATATAGGGTCCAAACTCTCCGGGCGTTTTTCAGCCCTTCTCTCAGTGTTTTTGGCTCCACTGCCATGATGCTACAACAGCTGCAGCCACGGGCGCTGGTGCTGCTGCTGCTCCAAAATTTAGAGGGATGCACAGTATAGAATCTTCCAAATGCGGTGAGCTGTCTGTATACCTCAGGCTGGAAGTTTACTTGCTTGAAGGCCCTCGTTCTTTTCATACAACTGCTAGAACTTGCTGCGGAGGCATTCCAACCCAAATCTCGCACTGCTGTACCCGCTGACGACGATGCCGCAGCAGCAACTGCAGCAGCAACAGCTGCAGCACAGAGAGTGTACGTCTTCACCTTTCTTGAGCTCCTGGGATCCGCCGTGTGTGCAGTGATGGCTACATGGGCATACAAGCCCGGGGATTTGCTGGATGCACACCGTCGCTTAGTACTGCTGCAGCAACAGCTCCCCAAAGACGCGACAGTAGACATTGGAGGCAGCAACAGCTGCAGGAACAGAAAGTGCAGCAGCAACAGAAGCAGCGGGAGATTTAATTTGGTGATTCCCGGCAAGTTCGCTACCGCACGGAAGAGGTGCAACTTCAGAAGCATCTGGAGACGAAATGTGCAAACTAAAAGTGCAGAAGCTAACCTTAAGGACCACTGCAGGCAGGTCGCAGAGTCCCCTTAGATGTTCATTCTTCTCATGAATTATTTTGACCCTGATATAGTGGGATTTGGTAGGGGTTCCCTATTCTTATAAAACCCAACAGCGTCCTGTTGCTCATTACTGTAGACTTCAGAGCTAACTGTGCTCATATGGGACATCTCAAGGGCCCTCTAATACGACACTGCACCGTTACGGGCCGTACCCGAAAAGTCTCTGCCACTCGGCTAGATATGTTCTTCTTAAGACAGAGCCTGGTGTGTGCTGCAAGCGGCAGCAACAGAACATACTGGACAAAGCAACAGATGCTCTACAGCTGGGGGCCTGATCGTTGCAACTTCTCCCTTCAGCGTTATCAATTATACCTGATGTTTGTGCCACTTACTCGTTCGGTCCATTAGCTATCCACATACTTGAGCACTGTCAAATACTCTAGTAACGCTCAACAGAGTACAAAAGTGGAATTACACAAGCTGAGGCGTAGAGCTTGCCCACGCAGTATATATCTACTACATAACCACGGCTAGATATTAAATGCGTAGGGCATACGTTGCTGCTTGTGTCTTTGCTGTCAATGCTTTGGCCGCTGCGGGGCTGCTGCAACGGTTACTGCAACAGCGGGCACCCTTTAGCGTTACTGGCGCCACAGTTAACTTCTGGACAGATCTGTTGAAATCTACCCTGGCAAAAAATTGCTTGCCACTCCCATGATTTACGTTTCTTTCTCTCGTAGTAGTATTGCTGCTGTTGCAGCTTCACTGCTTCTAGTCTGGCTGGAGGTGCTGCTGTGTATCACGCGCCCATTGTAAACTGCTGGAGACTGCTCGCCAATTGCTGTGCGTTGCTGCTTGAGCTGCAACAACAACCCCAGAGGCTAATATCGCCGCTGCTGCCTTTTTCACAATAGCAACAAGCTTTGCTGCTGTTTCGGCTGCATGAGGAACACAAGAAAGTATAATTGCTGCCTTGCTTAAAGCAGCTGTGTTTGCGGTTGTTGTAGCTTTTGGTGCTGCTGCAACTGCTGGAGTTGCTGTTGATGCAGCTGCTGTTGTTGTAACTGCTGCAGATGGTGCTGCAGCAGCGCGCCCTGCACTTGCTGCTTTTCGCTCACATGGGCTAGCTGCATTTGATGAAGGAGCTGCTGTTGATGCAGCTGCTGTTGTTGCTGAGTCTGTTGCAGTTGTTGCTCTTGAGCCCGCAGTAGGAGGTCTTGCTGCATCGCCACTTGCTGTTGCAGCTGCTGCACCATTGCCTGCTGCTGCTGCAACTGCAGTTGCTGCTGTTTGATAAGCTCCTGTGGCGACAGTATCGAGCTGGCGTCTCCCAGTGGCTGCTGTAGGGATTGTTGTAGTGGCTGTTGTAGGGGTTGGTGGAGTGGTTGCGGGTGCAGTGACTGGGAATGCAACGGCTGCTGCAGTACATGTTGCATGGGCTGCTGTAGCGGTGGTAGCGCCTGTTGCTGCAAAGGCTGATGCAGATGTTGCTGCAACGGCTGCTGCAGTAGCAGCAAAGAGGGATCGCCAGCTGGGTGCAGCAGCAACTGCGTCCCAGGCTCTTGACCTGTGAGGATAGCAGAGCTATCCATGATGCTAGTGGGGGGAAAGGAAGAAGCTGAACCTGCAGCAGTAAAAGGTACGGCGCCAGCATTGTCCGAGGAGCCCGAAGCCGTCGTAGCAGCCGAAGCAACGGAAGAGGCAGGGACGTATCCTTGGTCTGATTGAGTCCTTCTAAGTTCCTGCATCAGCTGCGGCTCCTGCTGCCGTGGCTCCTGCTGCTGCTGGTACTGCTGCAATTTAGCTGCTTCTGCGTCGTTGCGTCGAAGGAAACCTTCTTCTTGCAGATCGGCTACAGTGCTTGGGGCATCATCGTCCTTTACCTGTAACACCTGGGACTGCGGGTTTTCTTCGTACTCCATGGTGCTGCTGTTGCTGGTTCTGCTGCTTTTGCTATTGCTGCTGCTGCTGCTGATGTTGCTGTAGTTGTTGCTGCTGTGTTCTAACTGTTGGTCATCCTCGTCTTCAAAGTGTATGTCTGTATCCTCATCTGTGTCGTCTTGTAAGTGTGTTGTCTGTGTGTCGTGTTCCGCACCTTCGCCGGTTTCTTCCACCAGCCCTGCAGAATCTGTCTCAATTGATTTGTCTTCTGCTTCTGCTGCCTTCCGTACTTCACCTGCTTCTTCAAGTTCATCGTCTGCATGCGCCTCCTGCCTGTCTACGCCGACGTCGTTGTTTTCTGTTATCTGCCCACTCTCTAGAGTGTCTTCGAAGGCACTTGTGGCTTCAGTGCTTTCATTTTCTTCCGCGGAAGTTCTGTCATTGTCTGAAGTTGTTGTTTTAGTTTCAGGCATGTCTTCTTGGTCTTCTGTTTCTTCAGTGTCATTCATCTCCTGTGCCTCTTTTGTCGTGTTCCGCTTTTCTGTGCTGCCGTCGGCATTCAGATCATTAGGCCCCTCAGCCCCCTCCTCATCCCTCTCCTCTACTTCATCGTGAGAGCGTTCAACAGCAACAGCAGCAGCAGGTGGTGCAGCAGCAGGTGCAGCAGCAGCAGGGCCAGGGCCTGCTGCAGCTGCGGCTTCAAGTGCTTCTGCTTGTTCTGCTTCTTCACCTTCGCGCGTATCCAGAGTTTCCTCCATATGGGAAGTTTCCGACTCAGAACTTCCTCCATCTCTTGCTGTTGACGCTGCTCCGGTTATTGCGCGGATGGCTGCTGCTGGTGGTTCCGCTTCTGCTGCTAAGGGTGCAGCTTCTGCATTCCCATGCTTACTGTTGTCTTTAGGAAAAGTCTTGTTTCTGTGTTGGTTTGCGTGTTCTTGCGTGTCTTGTGCAGTCACACTTGTTCCCTCCAGACTTTCTCTGTCTGCAAAACCAAACAGCTGCGGCTGCCCTGCTGCTGGTGTGGCTGCCGTCGCTGCTGTTGTTGCTGTTGCTACTTCCTTCGCCACTGCCGGGGCGTTCGGCGTAGCTCCCGCTGCCAATTCGGAAGAATTAGATCCTTGGGGTGCAGCTGCTTGAGCAGTTGCAATTTCCGTGCCCTCGCCAAGGTGCTGCTCCAGTTGCAGCTGTTGTACCTGTTGCTTAATATGCTGCTGCAGCTCTTGCTGCTGATGCAGCCCGATAGGAATGTGGTTGCTGTTGCCCTGCTGCTGTGCCTCTAAGAGGAGATGGGGAGAAGTAGCGGGAGCCGCAGCCGTTCCCGCCGGTGTACGAGAAGGCAGCAGCAGAAACGGCAGCGGCTGCTGGTGCTGCTGGTAAAGTTGCTGCTGCTGCTGCGGCTGCGCTGGAGCTGTTGCGGGGCCCGTAAATGGAGAGAGGACAAGAGGGGCAGCAGCAGCAGCATGGAGGTACATCTGATGTGCAGGAGCCTGCTGAGTCGCCTGGGGAAGGGACGAACTTCTGGGCCTTGTCCACTGCTGCCGCTGCAACAACTGCTGCTGTTGCTGCAGCAGCAGCTGCTGCTGCTGCAGCTGCTGCTGCTGCAGCTGCTGCTGCTGCAGCTGCTGCTGCTGCAGCTGCTGCTGCTGCAGCTGCTGCTGCTGCTGCAACTGCTGCTGCTGCAACTGCTGATGCACAAATGTATGGGGGGCTGCCGCGAGGGCTTTGGCATCAGCAGAGGGGGATGCAGCTGGTGCGGGCTCTACTGGGACAACTGGCGCAGCAGCAGCAGCAGCAGCAGCAGCAGCAGGGGGACTGGCAGCTAGTGCCAGGGGCATGACTCCTGTGTGGTACTCCGGTGGCAGGACTGGCGGCAATGCCGCAGCAGCAGGCGCTGCTGGCGGCAATGCCGCAGCAGCAGGCGCAGTTGGAACGGCAGGAGAAGCAGCAACCGACGATGCAGCACTGGCTGTTGTCGAATTCATATGCTGCTCAGCTACGCGGCTTTGGTTCAGCCAATTCCTGTGCTGCTGGTCGCGCTGTTGCTGCTGCTGCAGGTGCTGCTGTTGCTGCTGCGGCTTTTCTGCATCTGCAGATGGCTCTCCTGTCAACAGCTGCCACAATGGGTGGCCGTAGTGCTGCTGCTGATGAGTTACTGGCTGATGCAGTTCCCTGTGTTCCTCTTGCAGCTGAGCCCCCAGCAAGAAGGCAGGCAAAGCCTCTGTGTCGGGAGCGCCAGTTTGCTGCTGCTGCTGCCTCTGGGTTGGGTGTATAGACATAGGAACATCCAGCGGCCGGATACCCGCAGCTGCCAGGTCTATCTGCTGGTGCTGCTGCTGGTGCTGCTGCTCGTTCAGCTGCCGCTGCTCCCTCGTCAGCAGCAGCACTGCAACAGGCAGCAGCGGCAGTAGCACCAGTAGAGCAAGCAGTAGCCCAGCAGCTTGAACCGCTGCTCCGTGGCGAAAGCCAGTGCGGAAGAGCATGCTGCTGCTGTTGCTGCTGCTGTTTCCTGTACTGCTGCCTTTGCTGCAGTCGTTCGTGCTGCGGCTGACGCCACAGATGCTCCCGCAGCCACTACCTTACCTGCGGCTGAGCCAGCTGACGAGGCTGCATAAACTTCCCTTTGTCGTGTAGAGTGCATTTAAGTGAATGCGGTTGCTAGGCTACACCAGTACGGGCTGACAGCTTGCTGCGGCTCCATTGCCCTATCTTAATGCTAGCGACCGCGTGGGAATAAGCTCTGAAACCTGTGATTAATAGTCTAAAAAACACAGATGAAAAACGTGAAGAAGCACTAACCAAAGACTGAAAGATCGAAATTCAAAACGTAAAACTGCAAAAACGACTCAAACTGAACGGGCTGGGGCTGTCTGTCGGTCGCGCCGGAGCCATCAGGAACCACTGCGTCGTATTCCTGTTATAATCACCATTAATGGTCGACTGACTCGCATCAATTGAATATAATTTGACTCTCTAAATTGCCGTGCAGACACGAATAGCGATCAGGCACAAGTCCTGCGGTCAGCTTCGACGCCACCCCACGATGCCACCGCGCGTTACTTTTTGCGGAACTGGGAGAACTCTAAAGCACACAACTGCATAGTATTTGGCACGTCGCATATACATGCAAATGTTCTAGCTAATATTAAATTTTATTTAACTAGATTACTTTTCAGGTCTTGTCGGTATTTTGCTGCTTAGCCGCTCTCAGCTGCTGCACACCCCAGCGCACGCCCAGCCCGTCCGTCGTCTGCCGTCCGCCGACTCCGCTGCTGCTCTGATGTGTTGGGAACAAACAAGCACGCAGCGAAGTGTCTCACTTCTGTAAACTTTACTTCTACTTGTTTTTATACCGTTTTTCGAGGAATTCTTTTTGAAAAATGAAGAGAACTGCCGTGAGCGCTGGAACCTGAGCCCTCAAGTTTGTGGCTTCCACTCACCCCTTGCGCGTGATGCCTTTGCCAACTGCAGGTTTTTTTTGCTTTATAGTTAGCCTCTGTTTGTTTGCTTTTGCTTTTCTTGTTTTTGTGGTCTGTCTGCCCCTCATTAGGCTGTGGCAAGATTTCTTTGTGGTCGCAATGTGCCCAGTCTGTGAAGGCAGCGCTGCCGTTGCACAGACCTGTTTGTAGTGCAATGCGGCATTCATAGATGCAGCTCTGAATATTTCTGTCACATTGGCACATGCGATTTTTGTATTGCGAGCACATGAACATAACTTTTTGGGCGAACGCTGTTCAGCCCCTTCCGTCTTGCGCTTGTGTCTCGCTGTGCAGCCCATCGCGCTTGTAGCGCTGTTGGCCCTCACGGCCTCGCTAAACGCCTCAGCGGATCCTGTAAAGGTGCGTTTTTTCGGCTTTGTCAATTGCTGTTTGTTCGTCTTTCGTGAGTGATGGAGGCGGCTGCGGGGGGTGGCTGTGGCTGCAGGAAGCTTTCCTTGAGATTGCCATCAACGGGGAGCCCATCGGCTTCTTGAACTTCAACCTGAGACCAGACGTCGTTCCAAAGACAGTGCAGAACTTTGTCGGTACGGCAGCGAGAGATTTCTGGAGTCTCGTTTGTTTATTTTGCTCGACCTCGCTCCATCCGTGTGGAATGTGTTTTAGTTGGCGCCTGGCGTTTGCTAGTGAAGCGTTTCTGCATGCGCAAGACACAAACCCTGTATTGGCTAGTTGGATCCCTAGGGCGTTCGTATGGATATATTTTCGTTAATGTACCGGGTTGGACATGAAGAAGGTCCTGATGCAGCGGGGGTGGTTCAAACCTGCAAGAGTAGCAGGACTCTGTGTTGTGTAGGAGCTCTTGCAAGAAGCGCGCCCTCACGAGACTTTCCAGTTGTTGTATTTCTGAGCTTTGTGTATTCTTGTTGCAGACCTACTTCCGAGATATGAAGGCACTTACTTCCACCGCATCATTCCGGATTTCATGGTTCAGGTACATCGCTTGAGTCTTCGGAACTGTTTCTTCTTGGTTTTGCTTTCCCCCAAACAAAGCAAAAGAACTATTTCACTTCCTTTTTTCTTGTTTTGCTCCAATTCACATTCGCAGGGAGGAGATGTTCAGAGGAACAGCAGGCCAGACGCGAACACTGAGCCCGTGGATTCCTTCGAAGACGAGAACTTCCAGCTGAAGCACGTTGGCCCGGGAATCCTGTCTATGGCAAATGCCGGTACTTTTTGCACTGGAGAGTCTTTGCTGCTGCCAGTACTGTGACGAGGTGGAGGCGCAGAGTGGACTTGGTAGTCGTTTACAAAATTAGTGGATTCTTCGTAAATGAGTTCGAGAGAAGATCGAAGACAGAGAGCACTAGTTTTCGCGGGACGCAGTTTATCACAGAGGCCACTGCTTTGCTTTTGCAAAGATGGATACAGCTTTTCGCGTTGAGGGGAAAAGTTGAATCTTGCCGGAACGTTTCAAGACAAATCACTGAGGCTTCGACTCTGCGCCTTGTGCTCGCAGGACCCAACACGAACAGCTCGCAGTTCTTCGTGACCACCGTCGCCACGCCTTGGCTGGACAACCGCCACGTGGTGTTTGGGACCATCACAGAGGATTCGATGGAAGTGTTGAAACGCATAGAGGCGACGGGGAGTTCCTCGGGCCGCCCTTCGGCCAGCGTCACTGTCAAGTCTTCGGGAATTGGCCACCGGCCCAACGCTAGTTAACTGCACAAGAAAAGGTCTTTGGCGTTTCCGCTGCTGCGGAGTTTGCTGCTCCGAGCTTTGCCCGGGAACGCGCTTGGCCGCGGCCAGTGCAGAGCCCTGCAGGCGGCTCGGGCCGCGCCTTTTGCTGCACCGAGTTCTCAACGAACCTCTTTAGCGAAAAGAAACTGTTTTCGATGCATGCAGAAGCTTCTTGGGCGACGAAGCCCGCAGTTGCAACAACTCAGACTTGAATAGCAAGCCAGTGCATGCAGTGCGCCGCAGCAGCGAGTTTTCCTGCAAGCTATTTCGCGTATTTTTTGAAATAGTTTTCAGATTTTGATCTTCAGGCAAAAAGGAGTCATTTGACCATCAGCTTCCTCAGAAATGGAGGTCAGTAGATGCAGCAGCCCCTAGACCTGCCCCAAGCACTAGCCGTCAGCTACACTCTATTAAAATTAACTGACAGTAAATATTGGAAGATATTAAAGTTAACTGGCAATAAATATTAAAAGATATTGAAGAAGTATATTCAGGAATAGACGAGACATGAGAGGAGTTTGGGCGACAGCCAAGACGTCTTGTGTTCAAAAGGGTGAATTATCTGTTGTTGAATTTTTCATGAAAAGATGCAGCGGGGAACCTGAGGAATTAAAAACTGGAGATCTTTCTAGTTGTGTCTTTTGGCTCTGCAGTTTCATCCTTTGATTACATTAGACTGCACTATTAACTGTTTGCTTATCGCGTCTTAAAGATTTTAAAGATATTCTCCTGGAAAAGAAGTTCAGGTTTTTCTGCAGTTCCTGAGTAGAAATAAAATTTATAATTATAAGGGGCTTGAAGAGCACTGCGCAGTGTTCGCTTTGGCTCAGTAGTTAATTGCATGCGGCTTTCTTGCTGTTGACTTCGCATGCGCATGCAAGTGGGCTGGCACGGGGGAAGCCGTTGAAGGCCTTCTGTGGGCTTGCACTTCGTCTCAGATGGAATTTTTGCTAAGTGGAGAAAGTGCTTTCTGAGTTTCTAAAAGACAGGCTCGCATGCAAGTTGGAGGCTGCAGCTCGCTGCACTGGGAGGACAGTTCTTCATGGAAACAGAGAAACCACTTCGTTAAAGATTAGGAAATTCTCAACTGCCGCTGGAATGCAAAGAAAAGTTCGACTATTTCAGTAACAAGTCTACATGATCAGGAGGGGCAAGCGCCTGTTTCCGAGACGTTTGCAAATAAGCCAAATAAGACTGCGAGCTCGCGGGGACTTAGCCAGAATGAGTCGAATCATGAATACAGCGGCAAATCCAAAGCCAGATACTCTACAAGATTGTCGGCCCTCGTCGCAGTTCGAGGGCGTGCTTGGGCCGACAGCAACACATGCAAAGTAGTGGAATCCGTCGCCTAAATCATGAAGCAGCTGCAGCTTTCCCGTTTGTGATTTCGAAAAAGTGCAGCAGCGCAGCTTACCGGCAAAACACAAAATGACGCCAGTGCGTTTCACGAGACCGGGTGTCGATACACCCGAAGCGACTTCGCGGAAATTCAAGTTCGGACTCCGGCAGTGCCGAACGCAAGTTGCATTGTTGCTCCCAAGTAACGCTCTCACTTCAAAAGTACAAAAATTGGAGGCCCTTTTAACCTCCAACATCCGTCTAAATCGTTCTAAAAGCCCGGCTCCTAGACAGCAGCCAAAGCCTCCACCACCACCACCACCACCGCTGCTGCTGCTGCTGCTGCTGCTGCTGCTGGTGGTGGCGGGTGCGGAGGAGGTGCAGCGGGTTGTGTCAGGGCCGGCGTTTGACGAGATCGGGGAACTCGGTGAGGAGCGGCATCGCAGATATTCTGTTGCTTCTCATTGGCTCCAAACACCGCAAGATGAGCTGGCGCCAGCGGACGGGGACGTCGGCTTCCTTGAGCCTGGGGACCAGGACGAGGGGCCGGACTTTGTTCGTCAAGAGGGTTTCGGCGAAGTGGCGGGCCTCTTCCATTTCGTCTCCGTTCCCCACGGGCAAGTAGGGGGCGCCGCCGTCGGTGAAGAGCTCGTAGAGGAGCACGCCGAGGGACCAGAAGTCGCTGTTGGCCTGGGGAACGGCCTCTTCGCCGTAGCGGTAGTTCTGGAGGAGCAGCTGGGGCTCGGTGCGGCGGCCGGGGAGCTTGGCGAAGGGCCCGAGGGGGCTGGCGAGGCGCGTGCAGAAGGACAAGTCGCCGAGGAGGAAGGAGCCGTCGGGGCGGAGCTTGAGGCTCTCCCAAGTGAGCCCGTTGTGGCTGAGTCCCGCCTGCTGCAGCTTGAGCACGAGCTGCAGCAGGCGCTGGGCGATGTACTCCTTCGCATGCAGCGGCAGCTGCTGCCGGACCACGGCCGCGAGGCTGGCGCCGTCGGCGAGCCGCTCGAACAGCTGCACGCGGCCGAACACGTAGAACTCGTCGAGGAAGACGCTGTCGGGGGAGTCGGCCACCGCAGCAGCAAAGAGCGGCACGGCGAGCCCCTTGTGGCTGCCCGCGAGCGCCGCGGGCGTGGTGCCGCAGGCCTGGCGAGCGATGGACTCCTCGAGCGCCGCCGCGTGCTGCGCCTCCAGCAGAAACTGCTGCTCGTTCTTGAAGGCCGCCAGGCCGCGGTCCGAGAAGACCCGCACGGCCATGGCGTAGCGCCGGCCGCTGGCCACGTCCTGCGCCTCCACCACCACCTTGGGGTAGCGCATCGCCAGCACTTTCTGGATCTGCACGCGCTCCGGGGGCTCCTCTTCGCCGCGCACCAGCTTTATGGGCTGCACCTGCTTCAGCCGCACCTCCATCCCCACCAGCGCCTCCGCGCGGCCCCCCGACAGCGCCCCCGCCACCACCCACTCCAGGTGTTCGGAGAAGCCCTGCGGCGGGGCCTCTTCGGCCCGCAGCTGCTCCAGCCGCGCCGCCAGCGCCTTCTTGCCCTCCTTCGTCTCCGCCGCCAGCGACTCTTCGAAGAAGTGCAGCAGCGGCAGCCCCCACGCGTCGTACTGGGGGCCCTTCTCGCGCGCCTTCGCCGCGGCGCCCTCCGCTTCGCCCTCCTCCCCCGGCGACGCGGCCCCCGCGGGGGCCCCCAAGGGGGCCCCCAAGGGGGCCCCCGCCGGGGCCCCCGCCGGGGCCCCC